CATCATCAACGTTTTCTCATTATTAACATGTGTAAAGTGATGCGTAAGCGCAGAACAGAGTGTAGTGGAACACTTACTTCTACGAAGGAAACGCAATTATTGAAAAGAAAATATTTATTATTGTACTCGTTTTGTTTAAATGCACCAAAAACACTTACTGACGCGCAACCTTCTTTCTAGCGTTGCTGCCATCATTTATAACTTGCTGTTCATTGTAACGTCGCCCTCTTTCTGCTTCAAACATATTCTTTACCCTGGATTTACTTCAGATTATCGTGACGGGATAGTAATTAGTATTAGGTGGTGATGACAATCAATCTCGACCCGGTCACCACTAAAAGAGCATTCAGGAATATATTTACACATTATCAAACGAAGTCATTACTGTTTTATCAGTGGCTAGAAGACCTCTTACTGTAACGATAATAAAACCTTAAACATACATTACTTATAATTGTCAAATATAACAGTTTCAGATGATTACTGTATAATGTCAAATCATCCAAGACATGCAAAATATGTCAGGTAAATCGCTGTCAAATTCGATCATAACTAGCGTTCGATAATTGTGAACAACATAGAAACTCGTATGCATACTTATACGAGACAAACAAACCTAACAAATCTGTCAATAAATCTTCTTGTAGACCAGTTACTTTGAATGACTAAAAACATCACTTTCAAATGAAGCTGTACTATAATTACCATTCACAAGTTTTTATGTAGGTCAAGTTTTACAAATAATATGAAATGTATGTAACTTTAATTCGCCATAAATTGTTTTTATTATTATTATTATTATTATTATTAAGAATTCCAAAGCCGGCCCAGTGGTCCGATGGTTAGGCGTTCGAGCACAATACCGAAGGTCCCGGGTTCGAATTTTGAGAGGAGCAGGAGTCGTGGATGTGCACTGCTGATGAGTCCCATACCAGGACGAAACGGCCGTCCAGTGCTTCGAGGTTACTAATGGGGGTCTAACAATGATTGGTTGATGATTTCAAATGTGTAAAAACACAAACCTCCAAAACTCTGCCCCCAAAATGTTTTTTAAGATAATCGTTGTGCAGATTGTACCTATTTATTTATATGATTACTTTATTACCCCTTTTATGTCTCTGTCAATTCATTCAAATCATCAGAATAATATGACTACATTTAAAGGTATTAACCCTAACAAAATTGATGAATTATTCATTGATGAGAGAATAAAAAATTACAAGAATGAAAAAGAATCACATTCTATAAAGGATGACACAGTTTGACCTCATCGTTCATTTCTAACTTTATTTGTTTACACATGAATTTGTCTTTTTTAACGACAAAAAAACAAAACAAAACTGTTTATTTTATTCTCAATACAATAAGGCAAGCACTAGATACAATAAATATATTGTTTACATACTCTGATTCACTAATCATAATCACTTTCTGATAGCATTTCAGTCAAACTGTTCAAATTGTCTCTTGTCCTATTCTGATGATGATATATATGTATATACATATTTGATAAACATCAATACAAAGTGATTTCAGTCAATTGGAGTGAATTTTTTTTATTTGACATAAATTTTTGTTTTAGTTCATTTATTGACTAGTTAAAGATATTAGTAATTTTTGTCATATTTATTCGTTAGAAATGTTTCTTTAGTTGTCTTTCATTCATTAGAAGAAACAAAAAATACACTACTTGTTTTGTTTACTTTCATAAATGCATTGTACACAGTGTTCATGATATAGCAGCGATAGAAAAGTAAATGGTCTTATATATTAATATAAGAGAATTAGAGGTTTCATAGCATAAATTGTTTATCTTAATTTCGTACTATTAAACATAGAAACTTTGAATAGTTTATCACAGTTGAACAGAAAAGAGGTGATTCTACAAATAATATTATCATATACTGAAATACTTCAAGACAAGTTTTAATGAGAAAATCCATTTGAGATGAATAACAATAATGCCAGTGTTGTCTGATGAAAAAGTTATTTCATGTTCTACTGGTCATAGTCCCGTAGCCGAAGGAGTTGGAGGACGGAGATTTGCGGAGCTTCCTGGAGGAGTTTGAGGCCACGGTGGAGCTGGTGGGGCCCGGGGCGGAGTTGGCGGTGCTGGGGACGCTGCGGGGAGGTGAGGCGAAGGCGGCATACGACAGCCTGGACGGTGCCGCCGGGAAGACGGCGTGGGAGACGGTCACCGGACGGCTGATGACGGAGTTCGACAGCCTGGTGGAGAGAGAGAAGGCGCCGCAGAGGTTCCGGTTTGCGAGGCTGTCGGCTGATTGTGACCCGTTGGTGCTGGCTGTGGAGCTCACGATGTTGCTGCGCCGTACGCTGCCGAGTGTGGATGAGGAGTCGGGGGCACAGTTGTTGGCGCCTGCCTGCCACCGTGTCCCAGGAGCGGGAACTAGTAAACGCTACACGTCGGATAGATGCCGTATCCATCCCAGACCAGTGGGCAAGAACAATGACCGAAGTGGTAATCCGGCATACTGTAGCGTGTCACGGAATACGGAAGGTGATATTAACTGACCAGGGTCCCTGTTTTGAAAGACTACGACGAGAGCTTATTAAAAGGGGGGACGAGTGTGGTGCGAGCTACTTATAAGTAGTATATGACGTGAGCGTCAACGTAATGTCTGGCAGCAGAAGATGGGGGAAGATCAAGAAAGGAAGAGTGGGAACACAAGAGAATTTTTATGAAACGCATGAATAGTGACAATGGATTGATGTTTTGCAACAAGAACAGTCCAGTTCGATATGATGAACTGATATTTTGCAAATGAACGATTTACGATATGGTTTCCCAATTTTACTGAGTAACTCTGTAATTTTTGTTAAATACAATTCGGTTGCCCCACCTGTGTTCTCGTTCACTACAAAAGTACTTGAGTTTTAAACACTGAGTACAATATGGGTTCATATATTTTGCTACAGATATGGCGGTCATCATCACATATCAATCTAGAATACTTTTATGTATGGTCAGTCAGGAGTCAGTCGCAACGTAAAACGTGGTACGTACCTACATCAGTTCAAGTTGCTATACCACATTAGCACAGACAGATCGAATTGTCAATTCAAATCCCACAGTAATAGAGGCAGTAGAGGTATTAGCAATAATGGAGAAGATTAGGGTTCGAACATGTGATTCGAGAAGTATAATCCAATGAAATAAATTTAAAAAGAGAAAGATAAAAGTGACAAGGAATTCGGAAGATTAGAATTTGAGAGAAAACAGAGTGAATACACCTACGCCATTGCAAACGAATTTGAGCCATGTCATTCAAAGTCTCTAACCATCGGTTACCATTATCTCACAGACCTCAATCAGATAGTGTACACCTACTCACATGGCTCAATCCAGTTGTAAGTAATTTCATGGATTTCTGTCATGTTTTGGTTTGACCGACCCTACCTTTCTTCCAGCCTAGTTTTATACTACAAAACATAGCTGGTCGAGGCAGTCGGCGGATGGGCATTCGTAACACATGTCCCAACCACCTCAACTGATGAAGTTTCACTACTTCATCTATTGATCTGCCATCGTTAACTAGTACCCGTTTCCTGTCAAGAGCATTGCTTACTCGGTGGTCACAGGATAAACGATGAATGTTTGGAAGACATCAATGATGAAATAACAGTAACCTACGAATATCCTCTACTGTTACTGGCCATGTTTCACAGCCATATAGTAAGAAGGAACGAACTACTACTCAGTAGACTTGTCCTCTGGTTATCAAACGGATCTCTAGCCTACGCCATAGGTGACACAATTGAGGAAGGTGACTGAGTTGACAAAATACGTAGGTAGAAATGAGTCGAGCGACGATCACATGGAGACATAACACCCATCAACCTAATGAATGAACATTATTCTCAAGATACCACACTTTGTAATCTATTACTGAAGACTTATCCAGTAATTTACACACTTTACCACTCGGTTTAATTTGATCGCACAAAACCATATTCTCTATGTCTAGTTTTTATTAATTTAACTCGAGATTACTCACTCAATGGTCCCACAATGCGTCGTCAGCACTATTTCAAAGACACTTGTGATTAAAAACCTGCAGTCTATGTATGTTTTCCACCTTCGGAAAAAAAACATATTTCACACACACACACGCACAACCAAATACCAAAAAAATTCCCATCGATGTATGAAAAATAAAAAGAAGACGTGAATTCATTAAAACAATAAAATGAATTTTTCTCTACAATGAAAATAAGGATTCTTCTCGTATTCTTTTTCATAAAATAATATCGATAATAATAATAATAGTAATAATAATAATAATAATAATAATAATAATAATAATAATAATAATAATAATAATAATAATGGAGGTGGCAGTAAAAACAATCAATAATTCAACAAAATTCATCATTAAAAATCAAACACTGAAATCATTCATCCTTCGGTTCTATGTGTAGGTGTTGTCACTGGTTCGCTCGCTCGCTCGTTCTTGCTAAACATGTATTATTCAATGTGAAACCCGCTTACACATACTACATGTGAATGGTAAGCATGCAAAAATTAAGAAGTAAACATTCCTCGGAATTATTTAAACAGTGAAGATAAATGATGATGATAGTAACAATAGACGAGTATAAGAACAATAATAGTGGCAAGAATAGTTTTTTTATGGCAAATTATCCCAATTACAATAAAGCACTTCTTGTTTATCTTGCTCTAAGCTGCTTGACCAAAAAAACAGTCGAACTATCAGCATAATTAAATTTTTAAAAAAAAAACAAAATGATTCAATTCAAAAATAAAAGAGATGCGTGAAAAAGGTGGCTAACACATTAAACAAGATTTAAGCATATATCAACAGAAAGAAATGACAGCATCACGGGAACACAGATTGCAGCATAAAAGGTAGATAGAGAGAGAGAGATAAAAGGTTGGATGGGTGTTGGGTGTTCAGGACTAAAAACACATAAATATACAAATTTTAAAAAAAATGTACACATATATTCTTCTTTTTTTGTTAAAATGTTTGCGTATCTGTACAATTCTCAGTTAAATGATCATCGAATATACCGCAATTATCACAATATAAACGATTTGTTGTAGTGACAGATGAATTAAATTTAGAAATTTTATGAAAGTTTTTCAACGATGACTTTCTAGGCATCATCTCGTCAGGGATTGTGGTGGCATTTTTAATCAGACCATTATTATTGCTATTATGATGCTGATGATGAGTTTCGTTTGTTTGTGTACAACAGTCTTTAGTATCATGACTATCAAATACAAGACAATTATCACACCATAAACGAGGAGGTGGTAGATTTCGTGGTTTCATATGTTTGCCAGAATGTAAGCTGGAAATTACAAAAATAAAAAAATGAAACAATATTGATACAAAGTATGATAGAAAACATGAATAAATTGAGAAGATCGATGTCAGAGGCAAGGACACACCCAAACGAGTCACAAGACTAGTCTTCACTTTGAAACCTCAAGGACAAAGGAAAAGAGGAAGGTCAAAGAACACATTATGCCGAGAAATGGAGACAAATATGAGAAGAATGAACAAAAATTGGACAGAACTGGAAAGGGAAGCCCAAGACAGAGTAGGTTGGACAATAATAACTGGTCGACAGCCTATGCTCCATTGGAAGTAACAGGAGTAAGTAATTAAGTAAGTACGATTACATTGCATCGAAAATTTTTATTTTAATAGATAAAAGCTAATTCATTTTGAATTATTTATATGTATGTGCGTTTTATTTGTATAAGCATACGGTTAAGACCCTCATCGCGTAGAAATACAACTCGATCAAGAAAACAAGCCGATAACCAGAAAAATAATTCGCTAGTCGGTGGCCTATGCTTTAATTACAGGTAACAACAGGTGTGGTCGATCGAAATCGAAAATCGATTTTCTTTCGCATGTAGGTTTCATGTGTTACACATACAGATGAGTCATAGTTGACGTATTGTTACAAATTGAGAAGCATATATGTGATATTGATTGTCAAATGATAACCCCAATCTGTGGATTAGTTTCGAATGAATAAAATCAATACATTATTCAATCACTTCTCAATGAATATTGATTTATTTGAAATGGAACAGCAACAACAACAACATCAACAACAACAAAACAAATTCTTTCAAAAATTATAAAAAGTTTACATGAAAACAAGAATTTAAGTTATGCATTAGAAAATTACCTAATTATAATACACACTGGAATTAAAAGAAAAAAACATGTGTATAACATGAAAATGAGTTCAAATGTATTTATTTATCTATTAAAAGTTAATTAAACATAAAAAGATAGTTGTCCTTCTACTGCGCAGTGGTTCGCTCCGTCTTACTTTATGGCTGTGAAACATGGCCAATGAGAGTAGAAGATACTCGTCGGTTATTGGTTTTCGATCATAGGTGTCTTCGAAGCATTGCTCGTATATCCTGGGACAACCGAGTGAGCAACGCTGTTATTAGGAAACGGGTACTAGGTAAGAATGGCAGATCAATAGATGAAGTGGTGAAACTTCATCAGTTGAGGTGGTTGAGACACGTGTTGCGTATGCCTAACCAGCGACTGCCTCGTCAAGCTTTGTTTTGTAGTGTAGGAATAGGTTGGGAGAAAGTTAGGGGCGGCCAGACCAAAACATGGCAGAAATCCATGAAGTCATTGACGAGTGGACTTAGCCATGTCGGTAATTGTCGACTACGTGGTTGGGGTCCGCGAGATGATAATAATCGATGGTTAAAGACCTTGAATGACATGGCTCAAAATCGTTCGCAATGGCGCCAGTGCATTTATTCCTTGTGTTTTCTCAAATCCTAATCTTCTGGATTCTTCAACACCTCTACTTTTGACTTTCTAAACTTATCTCATTGAATCATACTTCGTGAATAATATCTTCTAATTCTAACCTCTCCGATTACTTCTAATACCTTTACTACCTCTTCTACTATTGGATTTGAATTGACAATTACGTCTCTCTGTGCTGATGTGGTATGGCGACATGAACTGATGTACTTACGTACGAAGTTCTACGTTGCAACTGACTGACTGAGTTGTCCTTGTTAGTATTTTAAAACGAACTAATCAAATGAAATTGTTGAAAAATAATGAATAGAGATGATATAAGAAGCATTTAGTAACTTGAAAAAAAAATTGAAACGGTATTTAATGTGAACTTCTATGAGGTGTAATTGAAGATGAGTATCATAGTGAAAATGAATGATTTGATCTGGAATTGTTTGTTAGTCATTCGGTAAGCTGAAACGTACGTACGTACACCAGTTCAGGTTACCATACCATAGAAGTATTGTGGTGCTGTGGTGCGAACTACTTATAAGTAGTATATAACGTGAGTGTCAACGTAAAGTCTGGTAGCATAATATGGGGGGAAGATCAAGAAAGGAAGAGTTAGAAAACAATGGAATTTGTATGAAACGCATGAATAGTGACAATGGATTGATGTTTGGCAACAGAAACAGTCCAGTTCCATAGGATGGATTGATATTTTGGAAATTAACAATTTACGATATGGTTTTCCGTTTTTACTGAGTAACTCTGTAATTTTCGTTAAATACAATTCGGTTGCCCCACCTGTGTTCTCATTCACTACAGTATAAGTAGTAATGGAGAAGCCAGTCAATCAGTCAGCTACAATGTAGAACTTTGTACTTACTACGTACATCAATTCAAGTTGCCCTAGTACATTAGTACACAGAGATCGAATTGTCCCATAGTAGTAGATGTAGTAGAAGTATTAGCGGTAATTAAAAAGATTACGGATCGAAGGAAGATATGAGTCAAGAAGTATAAATCCAATGAAATAAATTTAAAAAGAGGAAGAGATAACGGTGACAAAGAATTCAGAAGATTAGAATATGAGAGAACACAAAGAATGGAAGCACTTGTGTCATTGCAAACAATTTTGAACCATGTCATTCAAAAGTCTCTAACCATCGGGTTACTCTATATTATAATCTCACCAGCATAAGAACTCAACATTATATGAAGTTAATAGTTTATAATTGTTTGAAAGATAATTTCCTAATAGTCATTCAATAAAAAACATGTTACTTCATCAATTTATTCTGTAACTGTAGAAAGCAACTTGTACAAAACGCGCAAATATTCATTTGTCTTATCCACTAATCAAAATATTACAAATATATGAGATTTTAATGCAACAACATCTCAATTTATTAATCATATCAGATTTCATAAACAATAATTACTACTATTATCAATAATTAACTTACTCGGATTGTTCATCCGTTCCAACAAGCATTGCACGTATACGAGATTCTAATTCCGTATTCTTAGCATGTAAATCAACTACAATGGAATTGAGAAAATTAATTTGTGATTCAGTTGAAGCTTTTTCTTCTTGTTCTTCGTCAGCTGATCGATTTGCTAATATTTTTAAAAAAAATTAGAAGAAGAGGAAAATACGAGGAAATGTAAGTCCAGTTTCATCTTTTTATTTTTTTAAACAACAACTAACCACATTAGCTGTTATTTGATTTGTATGATCACATTGTTGGTGTGAAAGACTGTTGAAATTGGTTGATTAATAATTGCAGTTTTTAACATTTTAACAAAAGTAAACTGTTGATTTATATTCATTACAAAAACTTAATGTTTACTTGCAACCAACCAATAGCTCAATCAATAATGAATGCATTTTGAGCATATATTATGATCGATTTGGTCTCGCGCGTACTGTTACGGGTATGAGGGCGGTTGTCACTTCCCGGCTGCCCACACCGTGGGAGAACTTCTTGAATATTATCTTCAAATACTAATCTTCTCAATTAGGAGTAATTCTTCTACTATCTCTACCACTATGGGATTTGAATTGACAATTGCATCTCTGTGCTAATATGGTAAGGCAACATGAACTGATGTACTTACGTATGAAGTTCTACGTTGCAACTGACTGATTGGATTCTAATGCCGGAGTAAATATATCAACATTGAGATTAGGGTAGGTGCATTTAGCGTTGACAAGCCCCGAAACAGGACACAATACGTTCATCTTGAATTTACCTGTTAGACACTATTCCACTTGATTAAAAATAACGAACTATAGTTTAGATCAAATTTTAATAAATCTTTTCGAATCGATATTGATGTGAGGAGTGAAACAGAAAATCGAATTTAACAAACAAGTTAATTGAAAGATCGTATAAAACAACAATGACTCTTTAAAATAAAACTAAGGGGAGATTATATGAATTTCATTTTTGAAAGCCCCATGATATATTTCATTCTGCAATAGATCAATAATTAGTGTAATCAAAAACACGTTTGAGCAATAAAAATACCTATTGTTAATTTAATTATTAAAAACGTCAGGGAATTTATTTTGATATTTCTCATAGTTACATACACATGATTGATGACACACCTAGGTTCTATTGAAAATACTAAGAACAATGCAAATCAGTAATTGAGTACATGTTTGTGTATTTGGCTTCAAGCAAAACTTGAAGTACGATGGCTAGTAATACTATCGTGCCGCAGGAATTGTATAGGTCGAGCTCTTTTTTGACCACTAAGCTACCAACCTACATAAAAACAGCGGACCGATTTCAGCGATATTGATCTGTTTCACATACTACTAATATATTTTGTAGGGACTTCCCAATCTATCATCAATATACTTATGTCCAATAGTATAAAACAACGACGTCATATTTCAAAAGTCATCTGTTTGTAGCAAGATTTGAAAATCATATATCCAATACGATGTCAAGCAGGGACAGTGTCGATGCTAACTGTTGATGACTTTAAAACTAAAATGTAACAGCTGTTCAGTGAAGAACAGTTCGTCAGCTTTGTTCATTTAGAAAAGAGACTACAAGAGAATAATTAAATTATCTAACATCAAGCTTGTCAATTACACTGATATGCTCGTCAAGTTTGTTTGTACTGTACTTTAAAGTGTCCAATGATGACTGTACTTTGTTGTAGAGAATAAAATTGTTATACTCTTCAACTGATATGCATGCAGCTATTACGAGTTCACCTTGTTCGGTAAAAGGAACGAAAATCAACGATGCAGTGACACAATAGGCTATTCTAATCCGTTTGTCCCAGTCCCAGCTAACTTGGATCAAGAAGTCTTGATAAAGCGTAGAGAATGTATTCTACAAGCACCCAGAAAATACGAGGCATTTAAGCACACAAATCAAGCTTATTTATACATGACAGAAAGGCCCTTGGGAGAGCCACAAAATAGCGTACTAAAAAAACCCGTCAACCAATGACGGTCAAGGATTTCCGAGTGAGAAATGTAAGCTGTAAGTCAACTAAGCGTCTCTTGGCGCAAAAACATAAAAAAAATTCAAAATTTGAGCAATAAATTACAAAATTAGGACCTTTTCCAAGTGAGTTCTTGGGATCTAACGCCCCGAACATATATTAACACGTAAGAACTCATAGTTCGATTATTAAAACAATGTTAATATTATTCAGCAACTCAAATAAAAACACTACCGTTACAGATAAAGCCTGCCTTCGACTACTGATATAAATTAAATGACCACTGATTCTAGAAATGAATCAAAAGCGTGTAACTGGGTATATCGTTAACATAGATGAACATTTTCTAATGACTATCACTTATTATTCAATATCGCCAAATCAATCGAAAAATGTACTTCTTTTTAATGATGTGAATAGACAAACTATGCATTATGCATGTATGTAAAGGTTTATATAATAATAACTAGAAGGATTATGTATTACATAACCGTAATACATACAGTAGTGCTATTTGTAAGTTATATAGTATAAATAAGTCTATGCGCCAGCATTTCTATCTGCATCTTACAGTAGTGTATATATACATAAAAATACATGATAAATACATATTGAGTTGACAGAGAGAAAAAGCAACACACAACAATAGATAGACAGACAGACATACAGCAGAGCAATTTAGAGTATAAGAGAGAAACAATAGATATCTTTGAAGCTGATGCTAGACAGCCTAATTTGGCTATGAGCCAAAACCAAAAACAAAAAAAAAAGAAGACCAGTAATGTGTAGTTATACACAATCACATTATTGATCGTTGACAAGACTAGACATACAGACAACAGTGTGTGTGTTTTTTTTGTTTGTTTGTTTAAATCTTCACAAAAATTCCAAAAGAAGAAAACAGACCGATATTTTTGTCATCTCTGTGCTCGTCACATACAAAATGCAAACAGAAAAAGTGAAAGCGAGAAATTTAATCTAATGCCATATTTTTTTTTCAAAGAAAAAAAATGAGAAAGAAAATAAATATTCAATTAAATATATTTCCATCCATCCATCCATGAAGAAATTTATACGGCAGTAATTTATGAAGATAAAAATGTGAAGCGCGTTTTTTTTTACTTTCTCTCAACAACTGATTTAAACTCATGGATTAAAACAGAACTGATGAAACTTATATCGAAATAAATGAATGTTAGACACAGTTTGCTTTTTTTTTCATTATTTTCACAAAATATAGTAAAAATAATTTAACAAAAAAAAATAAAAATAAACAAACTATTAAAAAAAAAGTTTAGTTGAAAGAGAAAAAAATCTGATGCAAACAAGAGAATCATAATACATATATATATAACATGGCGATATAAGAATAAAAACGGAATTTTAGCTTCTAATCCGAAAAAGAAAAACATCTTTTTTTTCGGTAGGTTAACGTACACTGATGTCATAAACATGTATTTAAGAAATTATCCGTTGGATAATTGCTTGTGACAGTCAAAAACACACATGTTCAGCGTATAGATATTAAATATATATATAGGAAAGTGTATGTGAAGAAAACTTCCAAGTGCAACTCAATAAATCTGAGAGATAATAATAATATTGGGTTGTTCAAGTAGTGCCATATACACAGATATTAAATTAATAATCATAGTTTACTGGATCCTGGTTAAGGGTAATAATGAGTACAGAATACAATTGGTGAGGTTTCGTAATACCTTAGATTGATCAAAGTTAGAGATTAACACCGCAAGATGCCCGCTCAATGGTTAAGATGTTACACGTTCGCTTGCAGGATCGAAGACCCTCGGTTTGGAAACCGCGATAAGGGGTCGCAGATGCGCACTGCTTACTATCTCCATCCTAGAATGAAACAATCGTCCAGTGCTACCAGATTTCTAATAGTGGTCTAATAATGATTTCAATGTATATATTACAAAACAGTTTTTATAATTCTTGCCAAATTCATAATTCTTTGTAACAACTTGTTGTTAAATTATAATGCACATTTGTAATCATCAAACCTGGAAGCATTGGACGGCCGTTTTGTCCTGGTATGTGACTCATCAGCAGTGAGCATCCACTATTCCTCTACCTCGCAGGATTCGAACCAGGGACCCTCAGTCTTATGAGCGAACGACTAAACTCCACACTATTAAGTAGTTTTTAACTGTTTTCAATTTAAAGCAATTAACCCCCTTTTATAAATTTTGGTAAAACAGTGATAAGACGTAATTGATCTGAAAAATGTAATGTATTTGTGTTGTACGTTTCGAAAACAATCTGGTCACACATATCCACTTGTCAAGGCATTTTATATAAAGATTAATAAAAGGTCAATTAAATAAAAGTTCAAATAGATATAAGGTCATAATTGTAAATATAGGGGAGAAAGAGAATTAACGTAATATGAAAAGAATAAAAAAAGGATAGGAAATTGTCACATTACCCTCAGGCCATAAAATAGCATAAAGATTACCAGGGTAAATTCAAGGCTATAACAAATTTGACCTTTTATTCATCTTCATATAAAATGCCTTGACAAGTAAATATGTGTGACCAGATTGTTCTACATGTATAGCGCAAATACATCACATTTTTGTGATCAATCACGTCTCCTCACTGTGTTTTCAATGCCTATTGTGAAAATTAGAACAACATACATGTAAGCGAACAATATTATTGTTTTCGATTAGATCGTCATCAGGGTTTACTGAAATATACATGAAAATGTTAAACCAATCAAGACAATTTGAGTCGATAATCATGACGAAATGAAATAGATTATTACGTCACTACACACATAATGGGCAAAAGTACAAGTTGATAACAGTAGGAAGACTGGTGTACTGATAGTAGTAAGAAAAATGAAATACGATAACAAGAGTTTCATCAATAGTAGGTCAAACGTGGATAAATTGACTTAAAATAATTCTTTACAAAACATTAAAACCATTACGTAATAAGAAGTGTGTACATAATTAAGACAGTAAAAGAATATAAACGGAAAGAGGCAGAAAATTACCAACAAATACAGGATGTGAAAAAAATGCCAATAATAACAAAATAACATTAAGAAATTATTTAAAACGTTGGTTAAATTATATCTGGCCATGGAAGAGAAAGGGGTGTCACGAATTTCTTCCGAAAACATAAATTAGGGTTGAATGTACGAAGTCCCATTGCTTCTGCTATCTGTAACAGACAGGGTCGAACTCCATTGGGAAATGATGGAGGTATTAGATAGATCACTCGAAACAATCTAGATTTATCTACAATATGACCACTATCAACCAAATATGCTAAGATAGAAGTGCGTTTTGTTTTTAACTAGCCCTTCATAAACCATACTCGGAAAATGTTCACTCATTCGTTGGTTAATTTGCCAAGGGTAGTTCGCCCAATATAGCTATCTCCACATGGGTCAGCAGAATTTGTAAATACACATAGAGGAGACCAATTCAAGTAACTTATCCTTCGTTTCGGGTAGACATCACTGGTCAACTTGAAAACGCGCACGCAAGTTTGGCTGAGTAGTCAGTCAGTCAGATGCAACGTAGAACTTCGTACGTAAGTACATCAGTTCATGTCGCCATACCACATCAGCACAGAGATGTAATTGTCAATTCAAATCCAATAGTAGAAGAGGTAGTAAAGGTATTAGAAGTAATCGGAGAGATTAGGGTTCGAAGATATTATTCAAGAAATACAATCTAGTGACACAAACTTAAAAATAAAAAGTTTAGGATTTGAGAGAACACAAAGAATGAATGCACCTGCACCATTGAGAACGGTTTTGAGCCATGTCATTCAAGGTCTCTAACCATCGATTATTATCATCTTGCGGACCCTAACCAGGTAGTCGACAACTACCGACATGGCTAAGTCCACTCGTCAACGACTTCATGGATTTATGCCATGTTTTGGTCTGGCCGCCCCCAAGCTTTCTTTTACACTCGTCCTTTAGTCAGCAAACGGATATCTCGCCTACGCCATAAGTGAAGCAGGTTGGCAAAAGCCAATCGAGCCTTCTGTATCCGTGCTGAGATTTCGTCAGTCACCAGGCCATCAGCACTGATGAGACAGACTCCCAAGATAAGTGAAGCGGTCTACATGTTCGACTACATCACTCCCTATCACTAGTTCAGGTGAGTAGAATGTTCCACTAATGACTTTCGTCTTACAGAGTATCACCGGCCTATTTTATCCTTTTTGGTCTACAAATATTCATTTTTTAATTAAACTGAATAAGCATTCAAATGTTCAATGATTATTTGAATTCGAATTGAATAATTTCACTTTTTTGTTGACTACACATTAATAATAAATCATTCATGATCAAATTGTTCAAGTTTATAGGAAATAGTTAATAATTATTTATTTACTTATATATATCCTACATTTTATTTTATTTATGTATTCTCTTTAATAAAAATTCTTTTAAAAAATAATCATAACAATGAATCACTTTGATGTTCGTTCACATATATTTTAAAAGCTTGTAATTATTACAGATTGACTGGCGGCGAATAGTAAGTATTTTCAATAAACAAACAGTTGATCAGATTAAAAAAAAAGTTAATAAAACACTTTAAAATTCAAGCCAGATATAGATGATATCAATGATGATGATGATAAGGATGATAATAATTAGACATTATTCATGAATATCATATCATATCTAGGAGTGGGATAGTTTTCGTATAAAATTCAAAAGCATGAAATTCAAAGTATGCTTTCAGACTGAAACTATCAATTTGTTTGTTTAAAAAATATAGAAGAGTAAGGAATTTGCATCATTTTTTTTGTTATTAGACTACTGGAATTTAACTTTTTTTGTTTTGTTTTGTTTTGTTTAAAGGAGTCATCAAATTCAACAGTTCTAAATGTAAGGATTTTTCAACTGGAGTTATGGAGATTAGTGATGATTGTTAGACCATCATTAGAAACCTGGAAGCAGAGTAGACGGCCGTTTTTATTGGCTCAATGGTATAGCAGTTAACCGTTCACGTACAAGACCTCAGTTATTGGATTCGAATTCTGCGAGTAGCAGGAGTCGTCGTTGTGAACTGATGATGAGTCCCTTATACCAGGACGAAACAGCCGTCCAGTGCTTCTAGGTTTCTAATGCTGGTCTAACAATGATTGATTGATTGATGATTTCAAATGTGTAAAAAAATATAAGCATTGTGGTGTGAGCTACTTATAAGTAGTATATGACGTGACTGTCAACGTAATGTCTGGCAGCAGAAGATGGGGGGAAGATCAAGAAAGGAAGAGTGGGAACACAATGGAATTTGCATGAAACGCATGAATAGTGACAATCGATTGATGTTTTGCAACAGGAACAGTCCAGTTCCATAGGATGGATTGATATTTTGCAACTGAACGATTTACGATATGGTTTTCCGTTTTTACTGAGTAACTCTGTAATTTTCGCTAAATACAATTTGGTTGTCCTTACCTGTGTTCTTCTTCACTACAGCATTACTTCACTTCATGTCCGTATGTGTATGTGTTTCTACACACAGATTAAATAGGTGTGAGATGATTGTTTACAATTTAGTGATAACAACTTGAGTTGTGTTATCCGGTTTTATTCATCGTCAATGGAAGCCTGTGTTTAAACTAAACGCCAACAGAATCCTTTACTAATCAGAAGATGATGTAAATATGTTTTATAAACCACTAAAATTGAAATATCTCTTAACCATTACAGTATTATTTTATGTTTAGGAATCCTGAACAGTGTACTCACATCGTACTCTAATATCTTAGTTGATTGATCTTTTATGGTTTCTTTGATATAAAATTAGAACTAGTAAAATCGCTGAGAGTATTTAACAGAGATATCAAAATTCATATTGAGAAAACCAATTTATTAGCTATGTTTAGACGCCATCGGTCTCAATTAACTATGTTCACTACTATTTTAGGAATTACAGAAAAAAAGCTTTGGGGTTTATTGAATGGTTAAACTGCATTATGACTGTCAGCATATAAAGAAATCCCCAAATTCAGGGTTAGGTTCTACAGTTGAAGACTTTCAACTATTCTACGATCTCAATGATGAAAATGCATTTCTTTTAGACTGTAGTGTAGTAGTATCAAACTATTCATTTTGTTTCCATAAATTATTTTTAATGTCAACTCATTTATTACTTATACGTTTTTACTTTTTGTAAATTGACGAGATGAACTTGCGTTTTGGGCTGTTTTATAATAAAGACTAAATAAGCGAAGTAATCTGTGCATCAAATAGAAACATATCTTACTAGATAAATATCAGACAGACAGACAGATAGACAGATGCAACGTAGAACTTGGTACGTAAGTACATCAGTTCATGTTGCCATACCACATCAGCACAGAGAAGTAATTGTCAATTCGAATCCAATAGTAGTAGAGGTAGTAAGGGAATTAGAAGTAATCATATGTAAGTTTACGATTTTTTTTCCCTAATTTTAAAATACTATGCAATAAAAATAGTTTTTTGTTATGGTACATACATGCAATATAAATGACCATTGATAAATACACTTTAAAACATTTTATCATTTACGATTGTAAATGCATTAAAACAATTCATATTCAATGATCAATAGTTATCAATCATATTATAAATTAAATATCTGATCTTACTAGGCTCAGTTGATGATTTCGATTGTTGATATTCAAGTAAACGATTCTCTGCTTCTTTAATACGTTCTAATAATACTTGTTTTTCAGATTCTAACACTGTTATTGTGTGATTATGTACTTTTTCCAACTCCATTTGCTAATACGACGCAAAAAGGTAGAAAAAAGAAAGTAAACAGAAGAAATGAGAAATTAGAATGTGAAATAAAATTAAACAATTGAAATAATGATTTAAATAGAATTTAAACAAATATAACTTGATGATTATTTAAAGAAGTTGAATGATCAAGACAAGGGGAATGGGGTGTCTAGGGATGGTTGCTTGTTATAGAATTCTTTTTATGATATATGTGATAGATTTATTTCATTGCTTATTCACGTATTTTGAATGTAATTCACAAATCATGTTCAATTATTCATACATCGAGTTTCTTTGAGTTATTCGAAATGTACCACATCACATTTTTCAGATCAATTACGTCTTCTCACTGTTCTATCAAAATTTCTTTGAATTGTTTGAGAAAATAACAGTTTTAACAAAATAGCATAGATTTAAATTTGTTCTGTTAGGCTCTTATTAACCGACAACCTATTTGTAGTAGTTCTGTATTAAAACGACAAACGTTCTAATAGAAATATATTAAGTCGGCATTCAACTTTTGTAAAACTATTCTCGTTCGAATTTAGATGAAAGTTCTTAGAAATAAGGTTAAGTTAATGCGTAAATGTATAATCGTAATGGAAAAGATACAATTAAGGTTGGAACGGATTTCAATAAAATAATAACAAGTAGGAATGAAAGATCCAAATCATTTAAAATGGAATTATTAGAATCAAGGTTGTGGAATAGTGAGTCTGGCAAAATTTGAAGGATCATAAAGCTACACACAAGTGTTAATTCGAAATGAGTAAGACTTAATTTTAACTTGAACAATCGTATTAATCAGACATTTAGAAATCTGATCACAGAACTGTTTTAATGCTATCGAGCGCAGATCTTTTAGTATATCCATGAGAGATTGACCATTAAATATTTATTTTCTGAAGGACAGAAACCTTAAATGGAATTGGTAACAATGAGGAATCCAGGAAGACATAATACACATAACGAAAAGTAATACTCATCAAAATTTAAAAGATAACAGTGACAGGAAAGTATGATCATAGTTGAATAAGCATATGATTCCTGTAATAACAGGAAGAGAAATGTACCACATTGATTGTTTTCCTCAATCGTCTACAGTTACTCAATGAATTATAGAATTATTTACAAACATGAAGTAATATTTATTTCAATTTATATAAATCTGACTGTAAATCAATCATAACTCCACCTGGAGCCGTTCTACGGTTACAGCCAGTTCCAAGCCAAAATAAAGTAAGAGGGTTGGGCATGTGGTTAGCGACCCCTATTGATGGAAGTAAAACTCGCCAAAAAACGCCAACCAGAAAAATTAATTCACTGGTCGGACTATTTTTTGTATCATCCAATTTACAACTTACCAACACCAAGTACCGAGTCAGTTAATTATTCGAAAAAAGTCACAAAATTAGATTAAATCCAATTTACTGAGTGCATCTATTGTTCTGGTTTAGGAAAGATTATTTGAACTAATCCTATTGTTGTTTATATACGTTATACTACTACAGACTTTATATTCTGGACGAATCCATTCTCCATAAAAGAATCCCTTGATTGAAAGTAAATCGAAAAATATGCTTATAGTTTTATACTACTAATAAGTAGTTGATTTTTTTATCACAGACTTTTCTCCAACGAGAGCTGTATTCTTCATACATATTTATTAATAATTTAACTGTTTTATTCAATTATTTGTCTGAAATCAAAGTCCACAACTTGAGCCAATGACATGAAACCGAAGGATTTTCGTTTTTATCCTGGTCATACACATAATAGTTCTATATGCTACAGTTCGCGCGACTGTGACTTCGGTAAAATCAGAGGAACTCTTAGAGACAGAGATGACTGTGAGAACGTCGGGAAATAGGTTGAAACAACGGCTTGAAATGTAAACTCTTACAAATAATAAAGTTTGTGGTTTACAAAAAAAATTTCCAGAAAGAATCATACTGACAAGAAATGCACGACAATTTTCATTAAATACCTTACAAAATATGTAAGGGTCAAAAATTTTAGTAGACACCATTAACAAAAAGGTAAGACTATAAAATAAATCTAAAATAACCTACGATCAAGGACGAACCAAAAGTAAGCCGAACAGCACAACCAACCGTTACATAGCTATCTTCAAATCATGTCTTCATTTTATTTTAAATATGTAGAGATAGTTACTGGATAAATGAAAGGACTGACACGGGTTATATTTACCGATTTTACAGAACAATATGTGACTGTTGTATTTTTACCAAGACAGTGATTCGACAGTGAAATGGGAAGCTGATGATAAACTCCACAAGAGCTCAACCATAGAACACTGAAAAGAAAGCTTTTACTGTGGAATGCAATATTAAAATGAATATTAATGAACGAAAGAGATGCTTGGAACGTTTTATTCTCATGCACAGTGTTAATTCTCCCACATACAAATCTACACATAATCAAAATCATTGCAACTACATAAATTCAACCTCAATTAGCAAGGGTAATGTTAGATTGGTTTTTAGGAGTACCAGACACTACCAACGTGTTAACACTACAATGTGAACAAGCACAGCTCAATCCTGTGGTTCAACCACACAGGTACCCGACACTCTGGTGGACCATTCACACCATTTATATACAGTAGTACATATAGAAATTATTTCCGATCCATGATTACGTCAATCAATACGCACAGCATGAACAGGCCAATTTGACTCGTCCCGCTTACATGACTGTCAAATTTATTATTATTAACAATGGTAATATGCAATACAGCACCACAATGACAATGGCCCTTGGGAAATGTTGCAAGACAATTACAACTAGTATCACTCTGCAAACCAAATTTGTATATGGACTATTAGCGAAACTTGCCAAAATAATGCTTAACCATTCACAATGTTGACAATGAATGTTTAATCTCATATTAAACCTTCAACTCTGTCAGCATAGCAATATAGCTTACGGTATATACATCGTATGGCATAGGACAGTAAGCGATGCAGTCCAGCTTGACCCAAATCGGCTTAAACACTCTTATTGCCATTTGTCTCAAGTCGGGTAATGATTTTTTTGCAATAGCGAAATTTTCATTCTTCGACTATATGAGACCTGAGTTAGGGGTAGTATACCTAACTAGACATATTAGCAAGCGTGGCATCTACAAGTTATTTAGTGAACAAACAAATAAGTGACTTGGTTTTCTGTCAAAAAAAATAGGAAGAGAAACAGAATTAAACACACATACAAATAATGGAAATTATTTAATGAACAAGCAGAAGAATATCAAGTATAGCATACATACTTCATTTAAAACTTTGTCCAACTGTGATTGGATGGTTTGTAATTCATTTGATTTAATTTCCAGTTGATCAAATGCATCGGAAGCACTTTTCTCTAATGAAAACATTCTGTAATTAAAATGTTGTAAAGAAAAAAATAAAAAGAATATGGATGAGTAAAATTCATTTGACATTTTGAAATCATGAACTGATCTTAGCTAAACTAGCAATTAAAACCTAGAAACACTGGACGGCCGTAACCAGCGAAGTTCGATAAGTGTCAGATATTAAAAAGTTATCCACCGTAGGCAATGGAATGAAAAGTTCCATTGTCGGATGACGATTCTGTTGTCTCGAGGTCCAGGGGTTTGCGTGTGAAGCAAAAAGTCCTAGGTTCGAATGTCGCGAAGAGAGTTGTCTATAAGCATCGCTGAAGAGCCTCGTGTCGGGACGATACAATCGTCCAACGTTTCTAGATTTTCAATGGTAGATTAGCTAAAATTATTTTGTTATTTCACCTGAGAGGATAATAAAATCTCCACAAATCCTCTAATAATAATAACAATAATTTGAGCCAAAATATGTTCTAACCCTGATTTTACAGATAAAAAACAGTCCTATATTGGTTACTGGTAGTCAGTTGCAACGTAGAACTTCGTACGTATGTACATAAGTTCATGTTGCCATACCACATTATTAGCACAGAGACGCAAATGTCAAATCAAATCCCATAGTGATGAAGATAGTAGAGGTGTTAATGGTAATGAAGAAGACTAGGGTTTGAAGATATTATTCAGGAAGTATAATTCAGTGAGATAAGGTTAGAAAGACAAAAGTAGGAGTGCTGACAATTTCAGAAGATTAGGATTTGAGAGAGCTCAAAGAGTGGATGCACTTGCGCCATTGCAAACGATTTTGAGCCATGTCGTTCAACGTCTCTAACCATTGGTGACTTTCGTCTCGCGGACCCCAACCACGTAGCCTACATCTACCAACACGACTCAGTTCACATGTCAGTGACTTCATGGATTTCTGTCATGTTTTGGTCTAGCCGACCCTAACTTTTTTCCAACCCACTCCTACACCACAAATAATAGCTCGTCGAGGCAGTCGGTGGTTAGGCATACGTAACACATGTCCCAACCACCTCAACTGATCAAATTTCACTACTTCATCTATTGATTTGCCATCCCTACCTAGAACTCGTTTCCTAACGACAGCATTGCTTACTCGGCTGTCCCACGATATATGAGCAATGCTTCTTAAACATCTATGATCGAATACTAGTAACCTACGAACATCTACTCTTAACGGCCATGTTTCGCATCCATATAGGAGAACGGAGCGAACTACTGCGCAGTACAACCGTCCTTTGGTCAGCGAACGGATATCTCGACTACGCCATAAGTGACGTAGGTTGGCATAAGCCAATCGAACTTTCTGTATCCGTGATAAGATTTCGTCAGTCACCAGGCTATCAGCGCTGATGAGACTCCTCAGATAAGTGAAGCGATCAACAGGCTCGACTAATTCACTCCCTATCACTAGTTCAGGTGCTGATGCAACCCAGTTTTGGTTACTGGTAACGAAACATTTGATAAGTGAACGAAAATAACACTAATTAACTGACCGATAAAAAGTAACCCGCTTATATATAGAAGAGTTTAACAAATTTAAATCATTTGTTAACTAATCATTTAAGTAGTGCAGTGATTTATTCTTTTTTTTTTAAAAAAATGTGATCCGTTTGCCAAAAATCAATTCCTGTTATCGCCTTGGAATTACACTTTACATATAAGAATTTGTGATCAGTAAGAATTGTTTGTTTGATAACTTTTAATTCTCAATAAAATGTCTACACATAGACAAGTAAAATACAATAATGCATAATTATTTCATATTGTAAACAATTGACTATTGAACATATGAAAAATCAAGAGAAGCTTAGTTCTCTACTATTACAAATAACAGTGGTAACAAGAACACTGAACTAACAGATAAACTTGACATAAAAACACAGACAAATTCTAATGATCATACACACTCAGAGAGAAATATGAATGATACCAAAGAAAAAGATAATAATCCATTCAACCTGTATATAACACCACTCATGTCTAGTAGACGACCCCTTTTGTGAAGAAGAAGAAAAAAAAGTGAGAACTGAATACTAAAAACATTGTATTCTCCTCTTTCACAAAGTCATAGAATCTTTACTGATTCACAAAACATTTTCTCTGAGTATTATTCATATACATAGTCTGTAAAATGATGAATAACACAATGGCTTCAGCATCAGCTCACAACGAAAATACAATTACAAAATAATTTCGACAGCTATGTGTACCTCGAGTCATTTAGTAATCGAAACAAAAAACAAACAATCGAAATATCAAAGTTTTTAAATAAAATAAAATAAACTACGGGTTTCAGTCAAACTGTGTTATGTATGCATAAATAAGTTGATCATTTTACTATATAAAAAAGAAAAGCAGACAACACACACAATGTGCAGAAATTGTAGGCACGCATAAACTATTAGTCAGTAGTCTTTGGTTGTACGATTGTACAATTAGTCACCAAAGGTCGTTTTGTTAGTTTTCACTATTTTAGATATATAAAATTTAAGTTTAAGGATACTTGTTGTTATCATTGTTGTTCAGTTTTCCCTTACTTAACATGTAGTCAACTTAAGCAGAAAAAAACACGGGATTCGACCGATCGCACTTTCAGTGGCCAGTTAACAGGGTAACGTGATAGGTGCAGAAAGAAAGTATATGAGTAAAACCCAGACCAAAGATGTGAATCAATCGGATAATAAAGAGGAGATATAAATAAGATGATCATCACAGTCTGTGAAAATGCACAGAACTTCCTTACTTACGTCCGTTACTCGCGCTATGGAGCATAGGCTGCCGAGCAGTATTCTCCAACCTACTCTATCCTGGTCAATAGTTTAATTGTTGAGCTAGTAAAAGGATGCACCTTAAACTACTTTGTAATATGAATGGATAGTAATGATGAGTATACAAAGAATATGTATAACTGGTTCTAATTGGGTAAATCAATAGGAAAACTAATTATCCAATAAAAACTCGACGATAACAGTATTTAATTACTTCAGATAGTAGTATAACTCTAATAGTAACCTGTTTATTTTAGAGTATAATGTGTACCATTATGACAAGTCTACATGGCATGTTCTAGTGTTTGAGGCAAACCGACTAGCCTATTCTTCTTGAGTCATCATTAAATACAAACATACACACATTTTGACCTAGTCAGTTATTCTCTTATATCTTGATTTTTATTTGCGTTTGTGTGTATTGCTAACCTCGCTTATTTTAGTCCAATACTAGGACGAAATGGCCGTCCAGTGCTTCCAAGTTTCTAACGGTGATCTAACAATGATCGATTCATGATTTGTATGGAATACAACCATCTCCATAACTCTACAACAGAGTTAGTCATGTGCCATCATCAAATGAAGTTGTCCTATGTTGGGGATGTTAGATCCCCAAAATTCGCTTGATGATATGCCGTATTTTGGTTTTCACGTTTTGCCAGCATGGGCTGATCAGATGACCTTGAGATTTCAATTCCCACCAGGAAAATCCATGGCTGTGATTGGCTGCCGTTCAAGTAATAATTCAAGTTTGGCAGGATCCATATTTCCAAAAGCACCGTCGCCACTGATAAGTTCGTCACTTAGTATGTTTGAGGCTATTATGAGTTTACCTTAGACGAGAAACGCGAACGAGACTTTGACCAGCGTCCAGGTAGGCTACTTTGAATACCCAAAGTCGAAATAAAAGACTTGGTAAGCGTAGAAAGTATATTCTACAAACACCCAGCAATCACAGTACAATCAAGCATACAACTCTCGTTTATTTATACAACATAAGAACGTCCTTGAGACAGTTAAGAAAATAGCACACTAAGATACACAGCAGCCAATCACAGCCATGAATTTCCCTGGTGGGAATTGAAATCTCAAGGTCATCTGATCAGCCCATGTTGGCAAAACGTGAAAACCAAAATACGGCATATCATCAAGCGAATTTTGGGGATCTAAAATCCCCAACATGCTATTGGCTTTCTCCGCTTTGCTTTACGCTTCCTATTCTAATATCGGATGGACGTACAGAATGTATGAAATAAATTCATTGAAAATAAATCGTATTTAGGCATTTATTAATTATAACATCGATAATATTTTAGTTTGAGAGGAACCAATGGTAATATTTCTATATTGTATAGTAGAACTTAGGCTTCAAACTCAAAGCAATACTTTTGTATGCTTATCGAACTGTCAATCACTAATGTAAGAAGTAGTGAAATGATGACTTGTTTAGATAACTTATTGGATTTGTACACTGCTCGATTTATCTGCGTAGGTTTGTTTGCACAATGTACACATTTCAATAATTCTGTTGTCATGAAATGTATAACTCAAAAGAAAAATATACATTTTTAAAAAATTTCATTGCGCAGTTAATCGATTCATTTTTACACATGATCAAAGTGAAGCGCAATACAAATATGCATTCACCCAAGTTGTTAGAACACACATTAACAACAACATGAATAGCAAAAGAAGTGAAGTGATGTAGTGAGAAACATAACGATGATACAGAAAGGTAAGCGCATTGAAAATATGGCGTTCAAAAAGACGGAATAGGAAGGTATATATTTGAAGAAACGTGTTGGGATATTCATCCAATATCCTAAGAGAATTATTGGTCAATTACTACTGGTCAATTTTATGGCCGTCCTAGATATCAATGTCCCGTGCTCCAATGTTGTTTCTTATTGGTTGTCCTGACTATCAATGTCACTTCAAATGTTGCTTCCTATTGGTCGTCTTAACTGTTAATGTCACAGACTTTGGATGCTGTTTCCTATTCGACCAAAATGTATAAATACGCATTATCTGTAACGTTTTATGATCAGGACCAGGACCCGGATCCCTAGTCCGGGATCCTGATTCTCTTCTGGACTCGGACCTCGTACTTTCTGGATGCTTGTAGAATACAGGTTCTACTTCATATCATGTCTTCTTATATTTTACTCAATATGGGGGTTGGAATAATCGGATTTGAGTAGCATATCGTGTCACCGGATCTTCGATCCTCCCTCTCGTTTCCGATCAAGTAAACTCGTAATAGTTCAAGTATATCAAGTTGAGGTGTTTACGTGCAGGCGTAAAAAACAGCGGATTTTAAAACCTATACGAAGATTATGAGGAAATAGAACTGTGCTATAGTGATCGATTTTCAGAGTCCATATATCACTAAACATGCACAACCATTGATCACAGTTATTGCACAGACTGGAAACTTATCAAATTTAATACGAAATAACCAGACAAATAACTAACGAATTGAAGATAAGTACAATCATCGCTAAACGAATATCAACCAATATCAATAACAAAAGATGCCTTGTTTTCCCAGAAAGAAGAACATTACTATCAATACGCCATCAGCAAATAGTTTTGATAAATAACTTTATTTATACACTATACAAAAGTTTATTTACTACAAGCTGATAACTGTATTTACTCAATCATTCAATAAAAAGAGAAAACATAAATACATTAATTTAAAAATGTTACTACTTTTTATTGCCAGACAAACACACCAGGTTAATAATCATGGGCAATAAAGAAAGTTAAACAAAGGAAAAAAAATGTTAGAATAAAGAAATAGTATGATGTGATTTAGCATTGATAAACTAACAGATACCACACAACTAATTGTTACTAGTTTGTTTTCATTATACTATTATGTGGATCGTTGTTTTACACTGAAGTCATTGCTAGACCACCATTCATTCAGTCAGTCACTTACAAAGTAGAAGTTCTTACGTACGTACGTACATAATAACTTCAGGCTGCCATACCGCATCAGCACAGAGACGCAACTGTCGGTTCAAATTTCATTGTGATAGAGATAGTGGAAGTATTGACGGTTGTGGAGAAGATTAGGGATCGAAGATGTCATTCAAGAAGTACAGTTCAATGTGTTACGCACGCATGTAAACATGTCAATTTGATATGCCTGAATTATTACGAGTTTACCTTAGTCGGAAAACGAGAGCGAGGATCGAGGATCCGGCGACACGACATGCTACTCTAATCCGAGTGTCCCAACCCCCATTGAATAAAAGAAGAAGACTTGATATGAAATAGAACCTGTATTCTACAAGCATCCAGAAAGTACGAGGTCCGAGTCCAGAAGAGAATCAGGATCCCGGACTAGGGATCCGGGACCGGGTCCTGGTCCTGATCATAAAACGTTACAGATAATGCGTATTTATACATTTTGGTCGAATAGGAAACAGCATCGAAGTCTGTGACATTGACAGTTAAGACGACCAATAATAAACAACAGTAGAGTACGTGAAATTGACCATAAAATTGATCAGTAGGAATTAACCAATAGGAATTGACCAATAATTCTCATAGGATATTGGATCAATATCCTGAAACAATGAGATAACTTCAGAAAGAGAAAGATAGAGATGATGAGGAATTCTGAAGATTAGAATTTGACAGAACACAAAGAGTGGATGCACCTGCGCCATTGCAAACGATTCTGAGCCATGTTGTTCAACGTCTCTAACCATCGGTTATTTTCGTCTCGCGGTGGTTGATGGTGATGTGATCTATTTGGGTCCAAAGTTATGACAACTTTGGGGTTAGACCACCATTATAAACTTTGAAGCACTGGATGTCCCATAACAGGATGAAACCACTGTCCAATGCTTTCAGGTTTTTAATGATGGACTAACAATGATTCATTTATGATTATTAATTTACTTTGAGCATTCTGAAATGATCATATTGAAATAACAACTTACAAACATATATGTATATATATATATATATATATATATATAGAATTAATTAATTCCGATAACGTAAAGTCAACACTATTCATTGATAGTGTAATGTGTACATAGATAACACAGATAATGAAATACCTTTCTACTTCTTAAATACTACTATAAGATATTGATGAGATTATCGAATCTTATAGTTTTAATCACAAATTGATTCTAGTTATATAAAGCCTTAAAACCAGACAGGATTGAACTATTGTTATGTGTTCTAGTATGGAACTTCACAAATACAGCTGCAAACCAATCTAAAGTCCTCAAGTTTCTCGACAAATAAAAACTCAATGATTATCATACTAGAACACACACACACACATATATATATACAAATGAAACTTACTTTTGCCGTGCATTATCCAGTTCTTCTTTCAAGGTTGCATCATCCATTTGTACCTGTACAAAAAAAAAGAATCAACAACCAAATCATCAATAGAGGCATAGATAAACACAGCCTTGAAGAAACAAACAGTATTTGAACGGATCGTTGATCCACTAGCTATCATTGAACCGGATAGCCTAATGTTGCGCTTCACTGCCTTGTGGATTAGACTCGTGAGTCAGAGGACCCGGAAGGTTTCCACACATGAGAAAACCACCTCCTTCAGTTTTAGGCACTTATACAACATTTTAGCCCATACACAAATTAAATAATTTGAATGCCGCATAAATATTTAGGTGTCCATTGCTGAAACAGTTTGAATATTGTTTGATTATTTGCACAAATAGACAGAAATCTACAATTTAAGCTAATCAAGTCAAGGAGTATTTTATTTTAATATCATTCCTATTCGATCTAAAAGAGGAAGGCCAGGAAACACAATACACCGAGAAATGGAGACAGACATGAGAAAAATGAAAAAAACCGAATAGAACTGGAAATGGAGACCAGGACAGAGTAGGTTTGAGAATTGTGATTCAATCCGAATCGAAAAGAAATATTTATTCACAGTTTCCATCAATTTTGTTGATGTAGGTTTTTAACAGACACTAAACTGTTTGTAAGCACTAAACCACTACTGATAATAAAATCTTTTAAATGATCTTGATCGATAGAATCAAATCAATACTTAAAAGAATAAACAGATATCACAATCCTACTGGAGATCGCCGCCCAAATAGATCAATGATAACGTTTTAAATTGTGAGTCTGGTTGGAATGTGTTTAAATTTCAAAGAGATCAGCTGACTCTAGATAGATTGTAAGTACATTTCGTTGATGAGTGGTGTCACAATTAGTCATACAGTTAGTTAAATAGGTTTATTGCCAACTATCATCAAAAGTTTCAGGTTATATTATTCATTTGTGTATATGGAAAATACCTTTGAAAAAAAATCAAATCTACCAACGTTAGTCACATATCAGTCAGTCAGTCAGTTGCAACGTAGAACTTCGTACGTAAGTACATCAGTTCATGTCGCCATACCACATCAGCACAGAGATATAATTGTCAATTCAAATCCAATAGTCACATATATCTAAAGAATAAAAACAAAATCATATAAACTGTGATTTAATCTTAAACAACATAATTTCATAGTTGTTATTTCATTACAGATAGAGACAATGACGAAATCATTTCTTGATTGCAGCGATAAACTAAGTACGTTCATTTTTATTTTGTAAACATACGTCTAGTTTCGCGAATTGATATTTGCTTAAGAAATTAATATAGTACATATAATGTGTTATATATGTCTAGACACAATTAACTTACTATACAAAAATCAATTTCAGGGAAATAAAGTATATTGAGTGCTATTATATTTCTCTCGTCTACGTATTAGATTTATACAAGAAAGACATGAATTATCAGAAATCCACTACTGTATTTTGTTCAGAACAAACATATGGAAAATATAACTAGCTGTATAAAAATTATTTTACTAAATATGACATGAAACTCAATAAATAATTATTAATTCTGTAATTGTCAGTCAAAACGTACAATAAAGAAAATGGTCGGTAAATGAAGTATACCAGTGAATATATTCCCATGAACAATTATCACAATGCATTATAAAACATTTACTGTCTATTTATTCATTCATTTTAAGAACCGATATCGTACTCATACAACATACACCTATCACAATTCTTGTAAACTAATCGATTAAAAATGATTACTTGTCGTTGGACAACAAAATGTGGGGGTTTTGTGTAAATTTCAGCTACTCAAACGGAATAAGTAGTAAAAGAATATTTATTAAAATAACCCAATAAATGCAGTGGTTTTGCGACCAAATTACATAAGCGAAATTTGTAAAATGATACACATAAGATTGGAAACATATATTATGTTGATAAAATAGCGGCATTACTAAGCGTAATACTCAGAAAGCTACTTACAATGTTAAATAAACATTGTTTCAAATCATCAAATCATCAAAAAAAATGATAAAATTGAAGAAAATACTTGTTTAGAGAAACTCATTTCAATGTTTGCCTAAATATACGTAAATATCTGCTCGTACCGTTCAACAGAATATCATTTTCAAATATGGTTGATTGATTTCGATAAGGAAGATAATATAAAAATAATTTCGAAAAAAACACGGAACTTACTTCACTGGAATTTTTCAAGGTCACGTTGATTCGTGTCAGCTCACTCTCTAGTTCATTGCGTTCACTTTCTAGTGTTTGACAGTATTTTTCCAAATCTTGACGAACTTTTTCTTGTTCACATCTGATTAAAATAAAAAAAAAGAGGAGAAAGAATAAATCTTATACTCTGTATATTATTCCCAAATAAATATTCTATTAAATTAAGGAAAAACGAAGAACTAATTGTCTAGTGATCAATGAATTTTGAATAAAATGAGTAAACGCAAGATATTTCGACTTCATTATTGACTTATGCGCCGTTTTTGTACTTCGAGTCATATGTTAAGTGTGAGAGCCGATGATACCACCTGACCTGTCCAAACACAAGTCGGTGAAACGGAGTTAGAACATGCTACTCTAGTGGCTAAAAATGTTAGACACCTTAACCATTGATTCATCAACTCTACTGAATAAGTGAAATGAATCTCTTCACTGAACATGATTCTTGTCCTTGCTAATAAGCTTTATACATTACCCTCTATTTATACTTTTCTACTGTGAAAATTACAGTTTTACTTCATTAACTGTGTAAGTGTGTGTGTGTGTGATGCATTGAATGACTGAATTCTAGACTGCCTCTAGCCCACCTCACTCTGATTAAGCAGTAATTTTTTAGATGTTAACCAAGTACACTTGAGACAATTTGAACTACCCTATTTTAACATCTTAGTTTAGAATCGCTTTCTGGTATATTATCTCACTGTGACAAAAACCAATCATTGAAAACAACGAGAGAGAAAAACAATGTGAACATAGAGTGAATTAATTGATCACTCAGCAGAAAAGTTTATGTTATTCTTGTTTTGATTTCCTGGTGAAAAATGATCACCCACATAGAAACACAAAGTTTGATGAATAATATTTTTTTTTCTGGCAAAAAAAAATCAAATTTCGCACAGAAAATGTTTTTACGCCGATTAAGAATCCTAAATAGTTTTAAGTTAATGTGAAAAAAAAACGGTGGAATATTAAGGTGAATAATTGTAACCACATAAAATATATACTATTTCTTTTATTGATTTCCACAATAACTACTAAATAGACAATTGTAATGCAACAAATCTATAAGACAAAACACAATTAGTGTGAAAGATGTTATGATCATGACGAATGTCAACTTAGCATTTACGTGATAACACTACAATTAAGAAAACTTCAAGGTCTCTGTAAAATGTTGCATAATAGTAAGTATTTCAAACTAGCACATATGATTGTGGATAAAAAAAAGGTTTTTAATAGTGTCCCAATAGATGTTAAAGCTATATGACTTACTTACGCTTGTCACCCCCAAGGAAGCATAGGCCGCCGACCAGTATTCTCAAACCTACTCTATCCTGGGCCTTTCTTTCCAGTTCTGTTCAATTTTTGTTCATTCTTCTCATGTATTTCTCGGTTTCTCGGAGTAATGTGTTTCTTGGCCTTCCTCTTTTCCTTTGACATTGAGGGTTCCAGATGAGGGTTTGTCTTGTGACGCAGTTCGGTGCTTTTCGCAGTGTGTGTCCTATCCACTTCCACCGCTTCTTCCTGATTTCCACCACCGCTGCAATCTAGTTTGTTCTCTCTCCCACAGTAGGATGTTGTTGATGGTGTTGGGCTAACGGATCCGAAGTATTTTGCGTAGACAACTGGTAATGAATACTTGTATCTTCTGGATGATGGTTTTGGTGCTTCTCCAAGTTTCCGCTCCATACAGTAGAGCTGTCTTGGCCTTCTTCTTTTCTTTTTACCTTGAGGGTTCCAAGTGAGGGCTTGTCTTGTGATGCAGTTGGGTGCTTTCCTCAATGCGTGTCTTATCCACTTCCACCGCTTCTTCCTGATTCGTATTTATAACTAAAACTAATCTCCTACAAATCACTATACTAGAATATGATCGTCATATGACAAACTGAACGGTTGAATAAGCTGTGCTCTTTCTTTCTCACAATTACATGAATTTATCACTATTCCACATAAAAAAATTATAATCACTTTGTAACAAAACTAAAAACATCACCAAGTTGAACAGATATAGTAAAAAAAAAAACAAATTAAACTTACATTTGTTCTTTTAAATCGCTAATACGTTTACATAAAATTGTTGAAAAATCCTCAGAATCTTCGGCTATAGATAAATCACCTAGAATTTTAGAAATTTCTTCAACTAATTTATCACGTTTCAAATGAGCATTGTTTAATTCAGTGAGTAATTCGTTTTGTTTTAATTTCGATTCATTTAATTCTATTTTCAATTTATTTGTATAATCTTCAATTTCATTGAGTTTATTTTCAGACTGAAATGGTGGTATAAGAGAAAAGAAAGTTTTTTTTCTTTTTGGAATTAACATAATTATATATACATGTACAAAGAACACGTTAAATCAATGTCATAAGATAATCCAAACATTGTCTAAGAAGCATTGCTCGTGTATCCTAGGACAACCGAGTAAGCAATGCTGTCGTTAGGAAAAACGAGTTCTAGGTACGGATGGCAAATCAATAGATGAAGTAGTGAAATTTGATCAGTTGAGGTGGTTGGGACATGTGTTACGAATGCCTAACCACCGACTACCTCAACGAGCTATGTTTTGTGGTGTAGGAGTAGGTTGGAAGAAAGCTAGGGGTGGCCAGACCAAAACATGACAGAAATCCATGAAGTCACTGACAAGTGGACTAAGTCATGTTGGTTAGCTGTAGGCTACCTGGTTGGCTTCTGCGAGACGAAATTCACCGATGGTTAGAGACCTTGAACGACATGGCTCAGAATCGTTTGCAATGGCGCAGGTGTATTTACTCTCTGTGTTATATGAAATTCTAAATCGATGTCACAAGATAATCCAAACATAGTTCTTAGTTTGGTGAGGTTTGTAAAGACTTTAGAAATTTTTAAGCTTTACATCATAAACTGACTAGATAACTAGATAACTAGTGAAAACCAGAGTCACTAATCCACAACATTGTGAAGAGTCGAAACTGGTTAATAATGGCTGTTTAGTTACAATCCTTTTTTTTAATTTAAATTGTGATCCTGTTTTGTTTGAATGATTAATGAAGAAATAATGAAACAACAAAACTGTATATCCTATTAAGATTAGAAAGTATATTATGTACATGTGCTTAAATGCATATCTTACAGATGATAATTCAGGTGGATGATGATTGTGTGATCCAGCTCAGAGAATGAAACTTCATCACAATGAAACAGTAAATTTGACAAACATTATGATTAACTAGATTCTACAAATAGTATAAGTAATTATCCACGCCAAAGTGAAAATAAATTATGTTACAGTCATCCTCTTTAAAAGCATCTTTAATCTATTTGTAAACAAATGCACCACGTCCTCCACTATAACTAAAATTGTTTCTTTTTGGAGAAATTATTGACAATCAATCATTCGAATGTACTTTTCTGATAAAATAATATGAAACTGCCAATTAATTTTCTAAATTTTCTTTGAGTTGACGAACTGATTTGAATACAAATATTATTGTGCATACATATGTTTTAAACATCCACGTAGAAATCAGTAAACAAACTGTAATCGTAGTAAATGTATGTCACGTGGAAATTAAAATCAACCGCAATTGTCGAGTTAAATGCAACTCAATTAATAAATCTAAATAAGTAGTGGATAAAACATGAATAAGTAGACAGGTAGGTATATATGCATAAACTTCCATCTAAAGCATGTGCTAATGATGTTGTTCAGTAGAACGAACAATGAAAGCTCCATAACCAAAACATCTTGCTCCGAAAGCGAAACTCCATCACTCCATCATCCCAATTGACCTACAAATTCTCTCCACCATCTCAAAATACATGTATACTACTAAGAACTAAACAGATGTACTTAGAATGATAAAGTGTGAGCAGTGAATAATTATTACATATAGGAAAATGACTACCACAAACCTGACAATGATAAATATAATGGAAATGAACATGAAAACAAAGTCACAAACTATTCTGGTCAGCAAATTCAGAATGACCTCTTCTATTGATCAGACAAAAATCAATCACATGGGGTGATGAGGTAGAAAAAAACTGTGTACTACTATAGCCGAATTAGCGACACAATGATGACAATAAATTTGCATCTTTCATTATTGTGTTGTCAGTTTTAAATTATACACACTATTTGTTTTGGGGACGTTACATTCCGAGAACTCACTTGATAAAGGTCCTAATTTTGGATTTTATGTTTTCGAGCATGGGCTGATCAGTTGACCTTCAGATGACATTTCTCACCGGCGAAACCCTTGACTATTATTGGTTGATGAATTATCTTAGTACGCTGTCATTGTGGCCCTCCCAAGGACGTTTCTATTATGTATAAATAAACTCGATTTGTGTGTTTGTGAACACCATATTTTCTGAGTGCTTGTAGAATACACTTTCTACGTCTTGTCAAAACTTCTTCCTCGGCCTTGGGATGCTCGGATTAGAGTAACCTATCATGTCACTGAATCATTTATCTTCGCTCTCATTTACCGACTGAGGTGAACTCGAAATAGTTTAAAGCATATCAATTGATGGGCATGACAATTATGACTACAAATAAACTCAATGTAACACATCTTATTTATCAATTCAGCATTAAATTGAACTGCTACTTTTAAACTAGATGATAAGAAATAATGGTTATTTGCAAAAGAACTGAAATCAATGCACCTACATTCTCTTTATCTTGCCGTGATGTCATCCATTGTAGTTTAATATTAGCCAATTGATCTTTTTGTTCATTGAATAGTGCTTCTTGTGCTTTAAGTTTTTCCAATAATAAATTAATAGTCTCTTGATTAACAGCATTCTGCGCATCATCATCATCACCGGCGGTGTTGTTTTTCTGCGCTAATTGTAAATGATTCACTTCTTCTACTTGTACAGCATGAAATGATTCAATGGCGGATAAGACATTATTCTGTGAAATTATGGAATGCACCAATTAAATCAACAACAAGAAAAAAAAAGAATAAATTGAAATGTTTCATATATGGCTGGCATACAGAAAAGAAAAAGACAACTTGTATGCATTGCAAAACAGATAGAAAAAAATCAGGAGAGTAATTGTTTGTATTTATAATTGATTGATTGATTGATTCAAACCAAATGCGCATAACACAACAGATTAGAAAAAAAAATAAGCGAATTAAAATTTGTATGAGAACAAAAAATGCACATAAGCAGTCATCAAAAGCAAATATATATATGTATATATATATTTTTTAGAAGTTATTTCAGTGATTGGTAACAAGTAAACAATTTGAAATCATCAATCGATCATTGTTAGACCACCATTAGATCCCTGAAAGCACTGGACGGCCGTTTGGTCCTGGTATGGGACTCATCAGTAGTTCGGTTGTAAACAGTAACTACCGAAGACAGTGTGTATGAATTGATCGAAGTTAGACATTAACACCGTTAGATACCGGCCCAGTGGTTAGGCGTTCGCATGCAAGACCGAAGCTGCAGGTGTCGTGGATGCGCACTGCTGATAAGTCCCATACCAGCGCGAAAAGGCCGTCCAGTGTTTCCAAGTTTCTAATAGTAATCTAACATTGATCGATTCATGTATTCAAATGTGTAACTTGACAATCTTCACAACCTCGTAATGCAATTAAACAATTATTATTATTATTATCATTATTATAAATGATTATTGAGATAAATCAAACTGTGATAGAATATTTTGATAAGATTAATCAATAAACAATCAAACATATCACATTTTTGGGTTAAACCACTATGAGATACCTGATAAAAATTATGTAATATAAGAGGAGAAGAATTCGATCAAATCTTCTTTATTAAAAATGTCTTGCTTTTTTCTCTCTATACTAGAGAAGTTATATATATATATATGTATATATATGGAAAGAATAATGCATTTTCATACAATGATTATAAACCTTAAAAAAATATTATAATAGAGATAAATAATATATAAAGCATAGCAATGCAGTCAATGGAATTGATTGAGAAAAGAAAACAAGTTATAGCATTATATACCACGTGTTAAATGTAAAAATGTATACACGTATACACGTATAATCATCATCATTCAAAGTGAACAAATTCATCATAAATAGTCAAGAGATGTTCACTGCATCATCGTCAAATACATGTTGTGTATATTGATGATAATAGTAATAATAATAATAAGAAGAAGAAGAATGATTAGGAAATATAATCTTCACACATTCACCATGTACATAATTCATTTTGTATTATTGTAGAAACAAAAAGATCATTCATTCATTTATTCATTCAACCAACAATAGAAATGAAAGGTGATATTAATTTCTGCAGTGAAACAATGCAACATTGCTATCGTCAATAAAAAAAAAAGTGAAAAAAAAAATTGACAAATTTTATTTGACTCTCTCTCTCTCTTTTAGAATACACGAAAGGCAAAGAGTAATAACAATGAAGAAAAAGCAGGCATAAATAATCATTGTTTCCTCATATACACATTGTACTATTGTTTATTTGTAAAGATAAAAAGTGTACATTTTTTTTTCTCTTCTCAGCTAAATAGAAGATATAATAAGCATGGCATATACATATGTATATACAGATATTTTATATTTTATAACACTTTCACAAAAAAGGAATACCATTAACAAAAGTAGTACATACAAAAAAAATAATCAAGAATGAATGAAAACATAGTTGAATAAACGTTTTAGTACTCAGTTGGAATAATTCATCGATGTTTTGTGTGTGTGTGTAAGTGTAGGATGTTTAAAACAAAGAATTATTTATCTTACTTCATCACATAATCAAGAAGTTTATTATGTGTAAATCACTGTAAATAGAAAAATATTAAGCAACACTCAGATATGACAAACACAAAAAGCGTATAATAAAATTGTTAACGAGCAAATATATATATATGTCTTCCATCATCGGTGTCTCCGAAGCATTGCTCGTGTATCCTGGGACAACCGTATAAGCAATACTGTCGTTAGGAAAAACGAGTTCTAGGTACGGATGGCAAATCAATAGATGAAGTAGTGAAATTTGATCAGTTCAAGTGGTTGGGACATGTGTTACGCATGCCTAACCACAGACTGCCTCAACGAGCTATGTTTTGTGGTGCAGGAGTAGGTTGGAAGAAACCTAGGGGTGGCCAGACCAAAACATGACAGAAATCCATGAAGTCACTGACAAGTGGACTGAGTCATGTTGGTAGATGTAGACTACCTGGTTGGGTTCTGCGAGACGAAATTCACCGATGGTTAGAGACCTTGAACGACATGGCTCAGAATTGTTTGTAATGGAGCAGGGGTATTTACTCTTTATGTTCTATGAAATTCTAACCTTCTGAATTCCTCATAATCTCTACCTTTCTCCTTGTAAATTTATCTCACTGAATTATACTTTTGAATCATATCTTCACTCCTTACTGCTAATACATCTACTATCGTTATCACTCTTGGATTTGAACTGACAGTTGCGTCTATGTGCTGATGTGGTATGGCAACCTGAACTGATGTACTTACGTACGAAGTTCTGCGTTGTATCTGTCTATATATACATATATATATATATATATATATATATATGAGATAGTGGAGAAAATTTGAAGCGCGGTGGATTATTGTGGTGGTCATTCGTTCTCTGAGCTGGATGTTTTGGTTATGGAGCATTCATTGTTCTTCTGAACAACATCATCAGCACAAACTTCTTCAGACAGAAGTGAAGCATTTGAATTTCTCCACGTTTGACCCATAGCTTGTTCTGTTAACCTCGATCTTGATTGGTTGTTGTTGATCTCGAGTCTGTCGTTGTTTGAACCTTTATTTTGATGGTTTCTCCCTTTCGATCTGTTTCTTAATCCTTTGTCAAAAAGGGGGATACAATCAAAACAAAGGTTCAAACAACGACAGACTCGAGGTCAACAACAACCAATCAAGATCGAGGTTAACAGAACAAGCTACAGGTCAAAGGTGGAGAAATTTGAATACTTCACTTCTATCTGAAGAAGTTTGTGCTGATGATGTTATTCAGAAGAATAATGAAAGCTCCATAACCAAAACATCCAGCTCAGATGACGAAGCACCACCACAACATATATATATATATATATATATATATATATATATATATATACATCAGTTAAATGGTTTTCCTGTGCCCCCATGGTATGTAGCCAAAATAATAACGAAGTAACAAAACACCAATATGTGTATATAAAAAGCTTTGAGACAACTAGTTTATTTCACAGATAGTTTAGTACAACTCAACACAAAACAAAATTTGTGTCGACTAGGCTACTGCTTAGGTGCTCAAACTAAAAAGCAGGCGGTTTCCTTAAGAAACAAGCGCATCCAGAGATTTGGATCCAATAGTCTACAAAACATAATACAGTAGAGGAACATCACAAGTTGTCATTTTATAATCACTGAAAATAGATTCTCAAAGGCCACCCGTTCTTTGAAAATTCTAAAGCCTATGTACACTAACAACAGTTTATAAAATGAGTTTACCTACTCTTTCAACTATACATTTGAGTAGAACAAAAAAAACAAAAACTCAAAAGTTAAAATCAATGATAAATCATTCACTATTGATGGGAAGGCAGAAAAAGCATCAATGGTATCAAACAAGAAAAAAAATGCTATTCTATTGTGCCGACACTCGGTTTACACTCTTAGTTTATGACATGGATTCGATCAAACTGAGATACAGAAAAAATCGTACACGTTAATCAATACAAAGGGATCCGAGTAAAAACAATGCATAACTGTTTTAAGAAAAAATTAACAATAATATGCATATACAACATACTAAAAACGGTGTTTTATGATAACATACAACTAATATGAATCAACGTATTGTAAATTATAGCATTGTATGATCCTGTTGTTAATGAGAAAAAAAATGAACACTGAAAATGACCAATTAATAACAAGATGAAAGTGAAAAGGATTTACGATTTGATTCGTTTTCAAATCATCAACAACAACAACAATAACAAAAGAGAATCAACATATTGGAAAAAAGAACTGGTGGTAGATGGAAAAAAAATTTTTTTTCTATGCATTAAACAAAATTATATTTGATCATATACACACAAAAAACAATTAACTGGTAAAGAAACACACATTGAACAATTCAACTATTAATCGATGGCTGGCATAACTAAATTAACAATGAATGAAAAACAGAAATGTGTTCATATCTGAACAAAATCACAAAGAGGAGGAAGAAGCAATCTTATACTCTGTATATTATTCCCAAATAAATATTCTATTAAATTAAGGAAAAACGAAGAACTAATTGTCTAGTGATCAATGAATTTTGAATAAAACGAGTAAGCACAAGATATGATGACTTCATTATTGACTTATGTGCCGTTTTTGTACTTCGAGTCATATGTTAAGTGTGAGAGCCGATGATAGCACCTGACCTGTCCAAACACAAGTCGGTGAAACGGAGTTAGAACAGGCTACTCTTAGTGTCTAAAAATGTTAGACGCCTTAACCATTGATTCATCAACTCTACTGAATAAGTGAAATCAATCTCTTCACCGAACATCGCTGTATTCATTGCGAATAAGTTCTATATAATGCTCTCTATTTATACTATTCTACTGTGAAAATCGCAGTTTTACTTCATTATCTGTGTAAGTGTGTGTGGCGCTTTGAATGACTGAGTCCTAGACTCAAACTACTACCTACCCCCCTTAGCCTATGTCAGTCTGATCAAGTAAATAACTGTAAAACTATTGAGAATAATGATAATAATAATAATAAAATCATTAAATTAAAATTATTCATTTGAATTATTGCCAAAAAACCAATTCGGTTTTTTTTATTGTTAAAACTATTTATTGTATACAAAGAGGTGAATTGATCATTCGATAAAGAATCACAAAAAATCAATAATTTCAAGACAGACGAATGACATGTTTAC